AGCAGGTGAGCGGGCCGAAGCCCTAGTCAACCTTCTCCTCCGCTCTACCAGCGGTACGGAGCGAGGCTCCATACCACGAGCAGGTTCTTCCCCTGAAGGCGACATGGAGGGAATGGGACCCAACACCGGCGCCTCCAGGTTCAGTCGTTCAACCAGTACCACCGCTCGGCACTTCAGCTTGTCAGGGGTCGCTCGGGCAGCTAGTACCCTCGGCAACTGACCTGACGCGTCTGTCGGTGAAACCGACCCTACCAATACTCCGGGGGGAGTCCTCGGTCCGTTGGTAGTTGCATTCTTTCGAGCAAGCACGGGCCGCAACACCAAGGGGTGAGACAATTGAGGTGTCATAAGAGGAGGAAAACCTCCCGCCGACTCCCCGGCTGCCTCTCGTTCAAAAGGTGCCGCAACCGTATGCGAGTTCAGGGGCTGAGCAGAAGAGGGCACAGGTGCCCCTTTCCTCCAGACCCTTCGTTCCCCAGGTAACCTCCGCAGGTTGAGCATTGGATCCGGCGTAACCGGCTCCCCCCACTTACCAGAGGAAACCTCCGATTCGTGGGCGGGTGTAGCCTTTGAAGGTCTCATGGGGGGAATGGTACCCCCCACCGAAGCCTTCGTGGGCGTGCGTTCAAATTCGAGCTCCCGAAGGGGCTCAGGAGGCTGGACTCGCTCGGGCCCAGCCCCCAGGGGGGCGCGTTGGTTTCGCTGCGCGTTCAGCGTCCGAGGCATAATATTGAACATCTTCATATTTATGCATCCCCTAGGCACAAGGGCCGAACCTGTATTTTCGACCAGGGCAGTCGACAGGGGTTAACGTCGCCATTTTGGGTGGGGCACCATCCTAGAACAGGGCAGGTGGGCGACAGGTACCAAGCTTCCCCGACGCACTTTACTAACCCTAAGAGGGCAGCAAAGGAGAGGTGATTCAACCCTGCCTTAGAGGCGTTCAGGCTGGATTAAATCGATTGATGGATCCGACCGGCCACAGGTTATCCATCGGTACGCACGTCTATTGTGACCTGACGCTCCTAGGGGGCCGAGGCCGTTACCTAGGACCATGACCACGGGACCCGGCTTAGAGATACCCATGGCTCGTTCAAGAAGCCGTATTAAGCCTGACTTCAGGTGAGATGAGATAGTCTGTTCCCCGAGAGGCTACGTTACCCCGCAATCCTCTCAGGTTTAACGGTAAGGACCTCGCGAAGGTCACCTCATCCTACCATTTCCTTTTGGCGCCTACTGCACCCCAAAGTTCGGGTAAAACTTATAGGGCCCAGTTCTTTTCGCAAAAGGCATAAAAGAAAAGAAGCACACCCACAAGGGGAATGCGAGACTGGCAACTCATTATTGCCCCAGGACAATGATTGTGCGTCACAAAATTGATGACGAAGCATTTGGCAGCTACCTAGAAGTCCGAACTTTAACGCCCCGCGGACAGGGTACTCGAGGCTCTCGCCGCGACATCCCACATCCACTAGCGGGTTTTCCCTAGGGCGTAAGAGAGTCATAGTTACTCCCGCCGTTTACCTGCGCTTGCTTGAATTTCTTCACGTTGACATTCAAGGCACTGGGCAGAAATCACATTGCGTCAACACCCGCAGGGGCCATCGCAATGCTTTGTTTTAATTAGACAGTCGGATTCCCCCGGTCCGTGCCAGTTCTGAGCTGGTCGTTGAATGGCGGCCGAAGAGACCGGCAGGCAAGTTACGCACCCCGCGAAGGGCACGGCCCCCTACCGGCTCGCAGCAAGGAAGTTCCGTGGGCGGCCAAGGCACGGGACCGAACTCGGCAGGCCTACCCCCGAAGGAGCAGACCCACCTCGCCCAGGCCCGGCACGTTAGCTGTCTACCCACTTCCCGACCAAGCC